GAGGTATGTAGGGCCTTATGATTTCCACAATGTGGAAAATGCAAACAGAATCATGAAACTGACACAAAATGTAAAGAAATGCAGAATCTCACAGAATTTGCTCATTTGGGGTATTTGATGTATTTTGGACGCTGCTGCCTCCTGCACCTGCCATTACCTGGTTTATTTATTTAATAAACATATAATAAGGCAATGTATAATAATTTTCATTAAATAATCATCAGTGTACATTATAGTTTTGGAGAATCATTACATTCGACAAAGGGGGTATTAGTGGTATGATAAAATGGCTCAGGGGGTACACAAGTCTACAAAGGTTGTGAACCACTGATCTAGCCTGCAGATGGCCTCGAACAGAAGTGACTGCACAGTGCTGATTTAAACACGTCCACTCTACAATGACTTGAGACAACTAAAAGGTGGAGTTAAGCCACCTCTGGGTTCGCATTTCCAGCAGGCACCATAAAAATATTAACATGCTGCAACTTGAGCCGGTTTCTCAGAAAATACACAAACACGACACGACACGGGGTGACATTGCTCAGCTTTAACCTTAATTATTCACCCTCTCATAATACTTTCATGAGGTGCCGTGACAATGGCGGACACTTTCCACGGGTTTCATGAAGTTAAGTAACGGAGACCTCGTGTTTATGTTCGTCTGGACCAAAGATCGAATCATAGTGGCCCATCTGAACCTGGTCACAGCGCTAACTGGAGGTGCAGTTAGCAAGCAAGCTGGCTTAACTCTGCCCAGATGAAGCCCTGCATGATGCAAATGAGCTGGCAGGCTCTGAGAAGTGCGACTAAAATAGGAAACAAAAAAAGAAGAAAGAAAGATGACAAAAGAGAGGAAGCTGGGCCAAAAAAAARGACAGTTTAATAGAAGAAGTCTGTCGACACTTAAGACTAAAAAGAAGTTTTTGACCAGGGAAGTGACACCTTTTAGGGGAAATGTGGAAATTCTGGCTAAATAGAGCTTTAACGTGCTTAAAAATGTTCAGAGTCAATCTGAGGGTAGGTTTGGATTTGAGCAAAGATAAGCGCTGCTTTGTGCACGTATGTGTGATTATTGTGGCACAAGCGAGAGATTCAGGACTGTGTTTTTCCAATGAGGGTCCTTGCAGGGGCAGATTTAGGAATTTGTGTGTGTGTGTGTGTCTCTCTCTGTGTGTGGTTGTGCGTGTGTGTGTGTGTGTGTAGGGATGCGGGCACAGCTGGGTTTGAGGCGATCTGAGGGGGTGGAGATCTGTTTGTGTGTTTGCGGCGTGTCAGAGAAAACAGAAAAACCGAAGGAGCAGGAAACAGTGAAAACTGCAGTTTCACTC